TTATTATTATTATTATTGTTATTATTATTACTATTATTATGTATTATTGTTTCGCAAAGCTTTCAAGTTATTGTTTTATGAAGACGAAAACATCGTTGAAGGATAGAGTATGTCAGAAAAAAGGCTGTAGTCGGTGGAAAATTGTTGGAAAACTATTGTGCTGCTGATTGTGCTCCCCTCCCTCTCTTCTCCTCTCCCCCTCCTTTGGTCCTCCCTCTCTTCTCTCCGCAATCACCCATCACCGATAGTGTTAACATTATTTTGTCGGTGCGCCCGTGTGTTGTCGAGTTCGACACTGCGTATTCCGTTTGTGATACTACTGACGAAGTCGCCTTGTGTCTGCGCGTCTGTTATGCTGTTTGTCGGCCTGTTGTTGGTCTGTCCATTTTTGTACGCTTATATATATATGTTGTTGGTGGTGGTGCTGGCGTTGTTGTGATTGTAGGTGGTTTTTACTTAAAATAACTGGTTAGGAGAAGCAGGGTATCACAGCAAAAGAAGAAAAAAAAATTAGGTGGTTTGTATGTTGCTGTTTCAATTGTTCATCATTTTTCTTTATTTTTGCTTCTCTTTGTCTTTTGGTTCCGTTCGATAAGTGACAGGGAAAATAAGACTTTTGGTTTTATGGTAGAAATAAGGGGAGGGGTAACGGTGATGAGGATAGTCTAGTTCAGTTTTAACACCTGGTTGGTTTTTTTCCCCTCTTTTAACAACAGATAACATTATGATAGATGCCACATGTTTCGGTTGTCATTTTTTTCCTTTTTGTTTCTTTTTCTCGCACAGAGTTTTTTTTATCTATTTGTTTTTTTCCCATTGTTATAAATATTGAAGATTTTGTTATTTTAAAATGATGTGCATGAGAATTTCAGTATATAATTTAAGTCTTTACGGAGGTACATTTTGTTGTTGTTGTTTTTTTTTTCGCCATCCTTAACCCTTGACATGGCTGACTGCAAAGAAGCTGGCACGATGAATGTAAAAATTTTTATTGTTGGTAACAAATGGGAGATAAATAGACGAACTCAGCGGAACAGGGTACGGGATACTTCTTCTTTTGCTGTTGTTGTTGTCGTTGTTGATTTGTTGTTGTTGCCGCTGCTGCTGGTGTAAGACCGCAAGGTGATAAAAGGTTGGGCACGCGTTCTCAACGGAAGGCATGGCGGACAGCGGTTCCCATAGTCGTCTAATGGCTTTTGTCTTGTTGATTGGTTGATTGCGTAATTTCTGTTGGCGTTTCCATGTATTACCTTAGGGTAAACGCTGTTGTTTAACATGCCAACTACCGTGGACTTATACCAAACGCCAATCAGTCATCGTCGTCATCGTCATCGGGTTGTTCCTTGTCACCCCACTCCCTCATTGCTTCTACCTCTGTTGTCGCCGTTGTTGTTGTTGTTGCAGTTGCAACCGCGACCGTCGTAATCACGGTGTTGTCGACCACTGCAACGTCGGCGGCCACAGTTGTCACAATCGCAACTGTCAGTGGGAAGAGTTGTTAGTGAGTTGGTGAGTGAGTGAGTGAGTGAGTGAGTATATTTGTTTTGTTTGTTACTATCAATTCTGTCTGATCAAAATTGTGCTTTTATTTCTGCTTTTAATGGTTAATGAAAATTAGTTTTATGTCGTTCCTTGAAGTTTTTTTGTTTTTAATTTTTTTTTTTGTTTTATTTTTTTTTTGTCTTTCCAGTGCCGTGAAATTTTTTAAAATTTTTTCTTTTTTTTTTGGTTTTTTTTTTTAAAGTATATTTAGATTTTTGAGAAGTTTTTTAATTTCTGTGTTATTAGTTGTAAAGAGGAATTTTTTTTTTGGTCCATTTGGTTGTTGCTGATAAGGATGGAGAACGAGATTTTGAAGATAGTAATTTTTTAAAGTTGGAAACTTGAAAGATGACGAAGGAAAAGACAAAAAAAAAATTTTTTTTTTGTATGTGATAACAATTATGATAATTATCAGCGGTGATGATGAAGACGATGATGATGGTGGTGGTGATGGTGGTGATGGTGGTGCTGCTGCTTCTGCTGCTGCTGCTGCTGCTATATTTGTTTGAAGGAAACAGATTGATTTCGAAAAATTTTTATGCAATATGTAGCAGCGGCAATTGGCCATCAGTTAAGCAGCAGCAGCAGGAACAGCGAAAACATCATCACCATCATTGCAATCATCGTCATCATCATCATCATCATCATCATCATCATCA